TGCTTTGGTTATTATAGTTTACTTTTATATCTTTGTAGCTAAAAACGTCTGTTGAACGTGCTTTTCTATTATCTCTTTTCTTCGACACCTTCTCTTCATTTTTTTGTATAATTTTTGATTTTTTCTTTGTTGAAATTATATTTATCACTTATGTTTCCCATTTTTGGATCATTTTTTAGTGTTTCGTTCAGATTTCAAATGTTACTTAGAGTAATTCAAAAGCAGTGATGAAGATCCTTAATTTCTGTATAGAAACCTTGAAGAAAGTTTCTTTATATATGTAATGATAGAAAAAAAAGTGCTCTATTTTTCTGGATTATTTGATCAATTTTCAACTAATAACATAACAATAAAAATTTCAATCCAAATCGTTTCGGTATGAAACTTGTCTATTGCATTATATTCTATGATCATTCATACGTATTGTTTTTCCTTTTTTTTTAGTCTCTTCTCTTTTCTTTTCTTTTTTTGTTTCACGTTTCTTCTAATGCTGAGCTGTCCATACATACATATACATAAAGCCACCTGTCTTGTTTACTTTGTGCACATGTGTTTGATTTATTCGTGTTTTTTCGAGAAAGCCAAAAAAAAATAAAGTTACCCAGGACGAGCATTACGACAGTCGTAAACGATCGTGTACGGTCGTATACGGTGTAAATTACGATCGTATACGACCGTATTTCGCCGTATTACTTGCTGCCAGAATTACGATCGTATATCGTCGTGTCGTATACGACGAAACACGACGTGAAACGATCAACGTAAACGATCGTACACGGTCGTATACAACATAGTTTGTCATCGTATAATACATTAGCTTTTCGTACCTTCCCCTACACATTCACTACAAGCTACAAAAAAAATATCTGGATGCCCAGTCTGGCTGGGCACCCCAATTTATCTAAGTTAATATTCACTGTTCATTTTATGGTCAAACTAAATCTAAAAAGGAAAAGAAAAAAATTTATTTTAATAAATTCTAACTTACTGTTCATTTGATCGTCGAAATAAATCTAAAAAGAAAAAGAAAAAATTTATTTGAATACATTTTAACTTACTATTCATTTGATGGTCAAAACAAATGTAAAATGGAAGAGAAAAATTTGTTTCAATAAATTCTAACTTACTGTTCATTTGATCGCCATAATAAATCTAAAAATAAAAATAAAAAGTTATTTAAATAAATTCTAACTGACTGTTATATTTATCGTTGTAAATAATCTAAAAATGAAAAATAAAATTCATGTGAATAAATTAATACTTACTGTTCTATTTATTGTTGTAAACAATGTAAAATTAAAAACAAAATCTCTTTAAGGGCATTCCACTTAAAAATCGATCTCAAACCAGGAACATTCTAATTGCATGAAACTTTCAGGATATTTTGGGGCTGATATGAGAAGTCTACGATAAGATTTTCAGCCCTATGACATCATGTTTGAGGGAGATATTGACCAAAGAAGGATCGA